TGACGCACACACCAGCCAACAACAGGTACTTCCCCCAGGGCCAGGCTTGAAGGATACGAGCCCGGGGAAGAGGTGTGTCTAGGCCTAAGCAGCCCAGGGAGGAGCAGGCAGCAGGCAGAGGGGATGTGCAGTGGGGGCCGGCAGAGAACTGAGAGCCCACAGCACCCTCAGTCTGAGCTGGTGGCCTTCCCAGGGCAATGTCCTGGCAGAGAAGCAGGCAAGACAAATCAGGGTTAATAAGATGTGGATGGACCACGAAGGGGAGTTTCACCTCACCTCAGGTTTCCATTACAATCAGAGAACAGAAGTGGCCAGGCAGTCCTGCTAGATAAGAAGTGACCATTGGGGATCAGAATTTGGGTCAGGTTGTTAGAGACAGGGATCAATTCACCTTTGAAACAAAGACCAGCATTGACTGGGGTGAATGACACCATTTGTGATGCAATTCCTGTGACATCATTGATAGGCATAGCCTGGGCCACACTGGCCTAGGAGATGCAAACAAGGCCCAATTGCAGTGGGCTCCAGCTTCACACGGGCTTGGGAGGTGAGTGCCAATGCACAGACATGCCAGCCGCACCCCTAGAATGAATGCCATCGCTATTCCACACCGGCTGCTGAGAGATCATCCAGGAACCACTTTTGAATTAACAAGTTGCCAAAGAAGTTCAGAAGTCTCTTTTCAAATAGAATTAGGACAGGTGAGGACGGGAAGATACTCTTTGGAAGTTTGTCTCTTATTCAGTACCAAACTGGCACCTGACATCAGGCACCTGACATCAGGCACCTGACATCAGGCACCTGGCCTACAGTGCCTCACTCAAGCTTCACAGTCCTTGCTGAAAGGTACTGATGCCCCACTTTAAAAGTTGTTTATGCTCAAAGACCCACGCCATGCAGGCAGGATGCCGCAAAGCCAAACCAGTTGGCTCCAAACACTTAAACTCCTAACCACTACCCACCTCAACCTGCCACTCAGAAGCAGCTTTTCTAGAGGCCAGAAAAATGCTGCATTTGCATGTATATCTCATGAAAATGTCTTAAGTGAATCTCCAAAGGCAGAGATAAAGGAGATTGCTGATCTTAAAAAAATAATAATTCTCAGAAGCAAAAAGACTCACCCAGGTTCTATCTATATCCAGGTCAGGGTTTGACAAACACTTTTGGCCAAGGACCAGACAGTAAATATTTTAGCTTTGCAGTCTTTACGATAATTACTCAACTATGCCACTGTTGTGGTGCAAAACCACCACAGGTGACACAGAAACAAGTGGTGTGGCTGTGTTCTGTCAACACTTGCTTACAAAAACAGGGAAACAGGGACCAAGGAGGGTTTGCCCCATAGGCCATGATTTGCTGACTCTGCCTTAGACCACAGGAGACCTGGCAAATAGTTAAGTCATTGAGAAACAAGATTAGATGAGTGTTTAGAATAACCTATGCTGACTGATAGAAGATGGGCTCAGAATGATTCAAGTGTTCTGCGAAATAAACACTGGTATTATCATGTTTCTCTGTTAGTGCATTTGCTAGAAGCAAATGGCAGATGCTGTGTTCCAATAAAACTTTGTTCACACAATCAGTAGAGGTCTAAGTTTGGTCCCTAGGTCACTGTTTGCTGAACCCTGATGCTTTAACATCTCAAGTCAGAAATTCTAATAAATCAATAATCATCTAAAATCAGCTACTTAAGTTCCTCAAACACCTGCCACAGACACTGAAGGCCCATTTATAACACCCTGAAAGCCTCTGATTAGACCATTAGTGCAGTGGTTCTCTAAGGTTGCAGAGATGAGAGAAGTGACTTTTTTCTCTGTTAACAGGATTCATTCAAACCAGACACAAATCCCAACCACACAGGAGCAACTCTTTACTCTTTCAAAGCAGACATCTAGGCAGTGCACTGCACATGGGCTGTACTGGTGGCAGGAAGAGAGACTAAAAACCAATGGCCCCTGCATCCTTGTCCCTGCCTTGTCAGCAGCGCTAAACCACCGAACATCCTGCAGCCTCCGCACCGCCAGGGTTGACTGCCTGTCAAGGTTACTGACAGATTCCAGGGAAGCACATGTCATCAGAATGACTCTCCAACTTTCCAGGACAGGCCCTGGACTATGCCAACCCCCGGGTATAATGCTCTTGGCTCAGTCTAAGTTGTTGGTCCTTGGAACTAGAAAGCAAAGAGAAGGCAAGGCTGTCAAATCTGAAATAACAAAGCCCAGTTATCTGCTTGAGAATGTCCTTAAGAAGAGGGTGCTGGACAGTGTTTGTGGTTTCCACCCTTAGTGCAATGGTTCTCTGGGGTTGCAGGGAGGGAGGCAATTACTCCCCCCCTGTCTGGGGATACCTTTTATTGTTACAACCAGAGAAGTACCACTACCACTTAGTGGGTAGAGACCCCAGAGATGCCAGTAAAATCTTACTATGCATATTTGCCCCACCTAGCAAAGACTCACCCAGCCCAAAACATCAATAGTACCCACTAAGAAACCCCATCTTAGTGGGATCTCACATTGTGAAGACCCCAAATACCTCCAGCAAATACCCATGGTCCAATTAAGTTCCAGAAACTCAGCTCTAAAGACCATTTTGACTGACATGTTAAGTTGATTAGATGAAAAAGAAAACAGTGAGAGTCAGACCAGCTAAGGTGACCTGTTTGTTGTTTTCGAGAAAAACATTACTTTGCTGAGGTTCATCTATAAAGGGAGCATGTGGAAATAAATAATTTCTACAATTTCTTTGTGATGCAAAGTCTTGTGATTATTAGCATAGTAGGGGGTTGAGATTCTAAGGGACTATTTAGGGGTTTGGGCTAACTTTAAAGAATATTTCTGTGAGGCTGAAAAGCTAAAAACAGATCATCATCCTTTAGAATGTGGAGGAAGCCTTCCTTGTGAGATTTTCTGACAGTACACAATAAAGAAAAATAGCTCAATGACTAGAGAAATTGGAAGTCCACAAATCTGCTACTCCTGTGGCTTCTTCCTGACTACGGGAAAGGTTTGAGAGACTGAGATACGTGAGAGGAGCAAGTTACTACTGAGTGACTCTCGTTTCCTACCAAAGCTATAACATGAAAAGAAACTTTCCAACAGCACCTGTGTTACTGGTCACATCACACACATTGGTAACATTAATGGTGACAACCGGCTTTGTTTCTTTCTGAGTGTTTGCATATACTACTGTGGAAATGTTATAGAAGATGTTAGTACATGAATAATGTTAAAATGCACCCTCCAGTCCCAGGGTGGTGGCTCACACCTGTAATACCAGCACTTTGTGAGGGTGAGGCAGGAGGATCACTTGAGGTCAGGAGTTCAAGAGCAGTCTGAGCAACATCATGAGGCCCCATGTCTAGAAAAAGACAGAAAAATTAGCCGTGTCTGGTGGCACATACCCCTAGCCTCAACTACTCAGGAGGCTGAGGCAGGAGGATGGATCGAGCCTAAGTGTTTGAGGTTGCAGTGAGCCGTGATGACACCACAGCACTCCAGCCTGGGCAACAAAGTGAGAGCCCACTGTGCACACACACACACATTCTGAAAAACTATCTAGTTGTTTTTCTGTGTGGGCTCTCAAAAAATGGAGCCTCAATTTTCTAAATTTATCAGATCAAAAAAGGTTTTCAGACATTCAAACCTAATGCCTAGATACTTTGAATAGATTCAAAGCAGATATGTGTGATCGAATACTAACCACTGAGGAATTTCTACATTGTTTCTTAGAAGTATAACCATTTACTCCTTACAAATATATATACATAATAAGTTTATTTTACATATTGAATTTTGAAAACCAAGTTTTTCGGATCTGTTCAAAGAGAAAAGATACATGTATAATCGAGGCTGATTTCTGGCATTTGAATTCTGCCTGTGCTGAACTGAACTTGTTGCTCTACGATCTTAGGAATCAGCATCTGAACTCTGTATACTTCAGGGCACATTGCTTGACAGGAACACCAACCTTCTCTACCTCACCATTCTTGTATCTCATTTATATTATTTGTCCCAAACACGGAGACCAGAGAATCCTCAATTCAATGACTAGATTTGCTACTGACCAATAACGACAGGTCACCTTCTTCAGACCAAATCTGCTATAAATACTCATAGCCACAGGAAGGCTGAGATGGAGATTTGCCAAAGCATGGTATGATGCTATTTGCACGTTCCATTTGCAATTTTGTTTTGTAAGTATCTGTGTATATATATTTTATGTGTGTATATATAACATAGCAAAGCTACACACTGAAGTGTTATGTTACTGCCTGAGGTAGCAGACTTGTGTGATTTTTTTTCCTTTGTCTATGTCTTCCAACTTTTTCTATATTAAGCATAACTTTTCCTAAAGAAAAAAGTTATATTCCATATGTGTAGTTTTTACTTTACATAAAGAATTTAAGGCACCCAAGAAAAAAGCAACAAGTACAAAGATTTTTTTTCCCAAAATGAGTGCAGTTAGAGATAATAGCAAGACACAAGAGAAATAAAATCTGAAGAAGCCAAAGGTTATAGGTCTTAGCCTGCACGTAAGTGCCAACATCCTATATATTGGCTGAAGGGAGGCACTGGTTTGGCTTTAAATTTACTGGTTTCCATAGAACATTCCTCTCCACTCTAGTCACCTTGCCCCCACCAGCCTTAATTAAGTTTTGCTTAGGGGAAGGTCGTAGGGATGTTTTCTGACATTCCCTGAACTCACTCCCACATGGACCATGCAGTCCCAGAAACCTGTTGCAGGAGGAAACGCTGGTTGCAAATCTATCCAGGAGAGCACCAATGGTACTAACCAGTCCTAGGGGAAGTGTCTGTGTGTACAAGAGCTCAGAATCCCTAAAGGGCTGTCACTTTAACTTTCTAAAAGTGCCCCTGTGTGTGTAATTCCCCACCCATGTAGCCAGTGGTGAGGGATATTCAAGACCAAGTTCTGGAACCTCTGGGGTCCTGTTGAGGCCAAGGCACACTTCAATGCAGAAGTCCCACCAGCACGGCTCTTACCATAAGCTGTCATGACACCAGCATATGGTCCATCCACCACGTTCCTGTTTTCTTCTGCCAGAGCCTTGATGTACCTTTTGCTGAGGTCCAGGATCTGCTCACGTAGCATGGAGCTGCTTTCAGGCTGAGTTCGCTGTTGGATGGTAAAATGCAGGAGCATCATACCCCAAATGAAGCCGAAAGTCACCAGGAAAAAGCCTAGCTTCTGAGAGGACAACTTCCACGGAGTGAAGAGAGCCATTGCTCTCCAGCAACTTCACCTGCCCTCTGCTCTTAACGCGTGCAAGGCAGACACGAATTCATGGTGCAGGCTGCGTGCGCGAGTCTGCTGGCCTCACTCCGGCTCTTGCGTCAGCCAGTTTCCTTTCCTCTCTTCCATTCTGCTGTGGAGGAGGAAAAAAGTTAGCAACGGGGTCGCGGCAAACCACAGCACAATAAGCCAGAAGCCATACTTTTTACTTGCATAGCTCTAAATAGAAGTCAACTTTTTAAAAGTTGCTGGTTTAATACCTTGGGATTCCGGGATCTGTAAGCTGTGGGGGAATCTGGCTCAGTGACAAGAAGCTGGGCAAACACAGAAGAGGAAGTGGGTATCTGTGTACAGGTATAGCGGGTCTGTCCAGTCTGGACCAAGGTCAAAACAAGAAGCTTGCTTTGAAAGTGGGGAGGAGACAGAAAGGTCTTTCACTGAATGTCAGCAAAACCCCAAGTGGAGGGTGGAGTTCTATCACCATCAGGCACTCTTGTAGGTCTGAAACTTGAACTTAGAGTCATTATGTGCTGCTGGCAAGGATGAGAGCATGCAGCTGGCAAGGTGAGCAAGAAAGTAGATGCCCCCTCCGGGGTAATCAGACAATGGAGGGGGAGCGAGCCCCCATTTCATTTAAACACGGCCAGCTTTCTTTATCACAGAGAGCGGAGATGACTCTTGGGGCGACCAGGTAGCCTCTCCCCCATCAGCACAGAGAGGACATGCCAGAGGTACAGCTAGGTGTCTTGCTGTTCCAGCCTGGAACAAAAGCCGCACCCCACTGCTCACTTGCACACTGCAGCTCAGGAAACGTGGACCGCCCAGCAGGCAGCCTTTCTGTGGTTCTCACTTTCACTCCTGCCGTGAGGCAAAAGGAGACTTTAGAAGGCAGAGTAGTTTCAATACTAATGTGACCAGCTCCTACCCAATACCGGCAGAGTTTGGGCCACCCTTTCCACTCAGGGCTTCCTACAACAAGGGGCTGAGTACAGGGTGCAAATGGGTACCGCATGCCCAGACTTCAACCCCTTCAGCCAGGGCACTGGGCCCAAGAACCAGCCAGCTTACAAACAGCACCCTTTTTTTAAGTAACACTCAAGAGAGAGGCTGAGCAATGACCCCAACAAAGGACTAACACAAGACATATTAGAGGGTGTACATGTTTCATTTCGAAGGATTCTTTGCAAGACACCCAAGAGGAAATCCGTAGCCGGGTCTTAGAGCAATTAGCTTTCAGAGTGTGCAATGCCACAGACGTCTCTCCGTGCCTACCAATACAGCAATTAGTTGGTTGTATTACTCATAATAAAAGCAGATAGTAAATAAGTTCGTGCTATGCCCCAGGCATTGCAACAAACCCTTCATGCCTTAGCTTGCTAAATCCTTATAAAAGTTCTATACAGTAAGAAGTATTAATATGATCATCTCTGTCTTATAAGAAACAAATGAGATGAGAAAATAAAAGCATAGGGAGATTAACTTGGCAGAGATCAGTCAGCTCTGTGACAGAGAAGGATCATAAATAAACCACACCCCCTTCCCCTGGCCATCCCTACTTCCCCAAGCACCTGTTTGTATGTGGTCAAGAATGGTTGGCATATGCTTAAAGGGTTATGAAAAGCAACAAGGAAAAAAATGCTACACACACTATATAGTCCACAAAGCCTAAGGCATTTACTATCTGCCCCTTAACAGAAAAGGTTTACCAACTTCTCAGAGCCACTGGCCCAGGATTCAAAGTGTGGTGAATGTACCAACAGCACCATTGCCGGTGAGAAATACATGTCTCAGGCCCCACCCTGTACCTATGGAAGCAGCAACTCTGGGGCAGGAGGTCCAAGACTGTGCTTTACAAGCCCTCCAGAGGATGGTGAGCATGGTTAAGTTTTAAAGCCTCTGATCCAGACAGCCATACGTTTTGTCACTATGCAGCACCACCAACACGAGACCCAAACTCCACCTCACACTACTTTATCAGTTCCTCTGCCGTGGGTCCCACCCCCATACATCTGCTAGTCTGTCATCACCATAAACTCTGCACATCATTCTTCAGGCATCTCTTCCCACCTGGCCCCCTCACTTTCTGTATTAGGAAAATCCAAACCCAGCCTGTTTCCCCAGGCCCACCTGCTTCAGACCACTGTCCCCATGGCTCCTGCCTGTGATACTTCATTCCTAGTCTGATGGCTGATGATGGAATACTATTCTGCCATGAAAAAAAGAATCCTGCCATTCACTGAAACATGGATGAATGTGGAGGGCATCATGGTAAATGAAATGAGCCAGGCACAGAAAGACAAATACTGCAAGATCCCAGTCACATGTGAAAGGTACTAAGTTAATCTCAGAGTAGAAGAGTGGATAGGGAGGGAAGAGAGGGGTATAGGGAGAGCTTGGTCAATAGGTACTGAGCTACAGTTAGATGAATGTAATAAGTTCTAGTGTTCTGTTGCACAGCAGGACGACTAGAGTCAACAATATATTTCAAACTAGCTAGAAGAAAGGATTCTGAATGTCCTCACCACAAATAAATGGGAATTGTTTAAGGTTATGGATATGCTAATCACCCTAAATAGATCATGACATGACTTGCATTGAACAGCACCCACAAGTACATACCAAGCTTGGCGCCATCAGGCTGGGGAACTGAACAATGAGCAAGACGGAGCTCCCAGGGCAAGCTGGTATGCAGAAAGCCAGCCTGCTAACTAGGGGCTGCCCCTAATTCCTCAGGAAGTGGCTGCACTTCCTTTTTGATAACCTGGACTCATTAGTTCACATACCCCAGGGCTGAAGGGACTTTCCCAGGGCAAGTAAATGCAGTGTTATACCAAGAAAGGCAGTCTCCTGATGACTTGCCTTTACTACTTTAGAAGAAAACATGTACTGCTGGGCAGGAATTACCCGCCTGTTTCAGGTAGGACGCCCCGCTCCACACTTCAACTAACTCTGTGGAAGAGGCAGCTCAAAAGGGCAGAGTTAAAGCAGAAGGATGGGCTAGGCCCAGGGACCCCACACAGGCTCATTAGAAAGTGGAAAGCTCTTCCACCTTTGTCTGGGGCAGGGTCAGAACCACCTATGGGGGAGCCTCCAACCACAGCTGCAGTTGGCTGTGCATACTTACCTAAGACTGGTCTGGGCCCCACATTGAATACAAATGCAAACAAAAGCTCAGAAGCCAGACAAAAAAAGGTTCCTACATTAAAAAAAAAAAAAAGGGGGTCCTTGTATAATTTTCTCAATATCTGCTACCACAGATAAGATTCATAGCCCAAGCCAGGTGCAGTTAGATGCCCCTAATAGATTGTATATTCCAGGGGCAAAAAGATGGCCAAGAACCCAGCCTTGCTCAAGACACGCCAATTTACTGAGAAATTTTCTAGTTGTAAGGAGTTCAGAATACAGTTCTGACTGCCAAGGGCCTGGATTTAAGTGACTATGGAATTTTCTCCAGCAGAATGTAGAGTCTGAAATAACAGAAACCATAAAAAGCAGAGACAAAGCCCGCATAGAGAATTACATTAGAATTCATCTCTATGATGCCCATTAAGACAGACTTTAAGACTTTTCAAAAACCTTATTCAGGAGCCACCCTCCCCCAAGTTAATAGGAGGATAATGAAGATGCAGGACACTCATCCTCAGTCTCCTGCCAAAAGGACCATGATGATAATCAGCAATAGGCAGGCCATTAATGTAGAAGCACCAGGCCAACAGTGATCAAAAAGTTAGAGCTCCAGGAACAATCTGCGTGCCTGCAGACCCCCCCCCACACACACACACAGCCTCCAGACCCCCTCACAGCTGGGTTCTCTAGCTAATAAGTACACAAAAGAGACTCTCAAAAGGACCTGGTTGCAAACCAGAATGATGAATGCCCAGGGCCATGACTACAGCAGTTCACCTCCAAAAAGAAGTTTGCACTAAGTCTGGTTGCTGTATTAACCGTACCAGTATACATCCCTTTATCCACCTCCTTACTGTAAGAGTAGCATTCCCCTACTTCCTTCCCACTCTCTCCTCAACACAATAAAATCTGGCTTCCACCTTTCCAGAAGTGGCCAAAGATCTTTGGCCAGGAGAATGTGTCAGTTCTTCTCCACCCCTCCCACCACGAAAGCATGCTCAGCATTAGCAGAAATGCAAACCAACACCACAATAAGATATACCCATTAGGATGGCTATAATTTTAAAATACAGAAAGAACAAATGGGTGATGAGGATGTGGAGAAATTAGAAGCTTCATACTGTTGGTAAGAATATAAAATGGTACAGCCAATGTGGAAAAAAAGTCTGGCAGTTCCTCACATAGGCAAACATGGAGTTTCCATGACACACACCATTATGCTCCCAGGAATGCTCCCAAGAGAAATGAAGCACATATCCCAACAAAAACTGGTATACAAAATGTTCGTAGTGGCATTATGTGTATTCTTAATAGACAAAAAGCAAAACCACTCAAATATCTCTCCACTGAAGAATGGATACACAAAACTGGTATATGTATGCAACAGAATTTTAGCCATAAAAATGAAGACCTGATGATGCTACAACATGGATGACCTTGAAAACATTAGGCTGTCGGGGAAAGACAGTCACAAAAATCCACACAGTATGCAATTCCACTTATATGCAATGTCTAGAACAGAGAAATCTATAAAGGCAAAAAATACATTAGCAGTCACTTAGGGCTGGGGAGGTGGAGAGTAGGGGAACCGGAGGTGATAGTTAAGGCATGCAGGGTTTCCTTGAGAGGTAACAAAAATGTTCTAAAAATGGACTGTGATGAGAGGTACCTAATGCTCCTAAAAGCTGTGGAGTTGTTCACTTTAAATTCGAGAGAGATAGGATATGTGGACCGCATCTCAGTAAAGCTATTTGTCCCATCTCTAAAGCAGGGGAAGGAGTAGGAGCTACACTTGGAGCAGGTGGTCGAGCCCCCGGATGCTACAGCCCTTTCCCTCAGTCCCAAGACAACACAGCCAAGACCATGCTGGCCTGGCGACAGAAAATGAGTCATCCACTTCCAGGTCTCCGACATGGCTGACCTACAACCTCTAGGTCATCCTCCCAGACTTCCTTTCAGATAGCAGCAGCCCCACCCTATCTGGCAGATGCCAATTTCTCAACC